GCCAGGGCGAGCTGAGCCCGGGCTCCAGGGGCCAGTCCAGTTGCCGGGGGTCCAGCAGATCGACCAGTTCCAGCCCAGACAGGAAGTCCATGTCCTCTGTCTCATTCCTGGGGCGCCGGCGATCGCCTCCTCCTCCATCTCCTTGGGCAAGGGCACACGCCCTCCCCGATGCTTGGGTCCGGTCCGGGGGCGGCGGCCTGCGCAGGCCTCCAGCCGTGGGCTGGGGAGTGGGTGCCTGAGGCCGCCAGCAGCGTGGTCAGGCTGTGCCTCATGGGGCCCGGCTGCCGGCCCACGTAGGCCCCGCAACGACTCGCCCCTTCATAGACCAGTGGTTCTCAACCTTCCTAACGCCCGACCCTTTAATACAGCTCCTCATGTTGTGGTGACCCCCAATTTCATTGTTACAAATTGAACATCATTAAAGCATAGTGATTCATCACAAAACAATATGTAATTATATATGTGTTTTCCGATGGTCTTAGGCAACCCCTGTGAAAGGGTCGTTCGACCCCCAAAGGGGTCTCGACCCACAGGTTGAGAACCGCTGGTCTAGAGGCTTAGGCAGGACCTGCAGCCCCATGTGGTCTGCCCGCCCCCTGTCGCACCAAGCCCCCCGCGACTCTGCGAGGCTGTCCCACGGGCTCTCTCCTTCCTCCTGCCCTGCCCCCCCCCAGCCCCCGTCCTCTGAAGCTGCGGACTCTCCAGCGTGTCCAGCGCCCAGGAAGGTCCCACACTGACGGCCTTTCCTGGGACGCTCAGCGCAGCGCCATCTGCCAGGAGAGGCTCCTGGGGGAGGGAGGGCGGTGGCCGCCGCGTCCGCCCACAGAGCTCGCTCCTCCGCCGTGCGTGGCTCCTAAGGAATTAAACGTAGATCATTGTGATCGAGTTCATTTAATTTAAAATTTAATTGTTATTTAATCCAATGTTTCTCCTGAGGGCGCTGCAATTTAAAAAGTAGGACATGCCGGCCTGTCTTGGTCCCGCGGCAGCTCCAGCTCTAGATGCGCCGGGCACAGGCGGGCCAAGTCCCCTCCAGGGCCGAGCCTGCGGGACACCCACTCGG